AAAATCTCAAAAAAATGGTTCAGGTAATTTCCTTTATTTTTTCAGTTTAATTCTCATGTACAATTGTAAAAATTTTATGTTAAAAATTTATGTACAAGTCTAAATTACACATTTGATTAGATTCATGTTTGATTGATATTGTTTTTCTCTGATGATATCCATCACTTTTTATACACATTTTGTGATTGAAAACTGGTGTAAAATTTTTAATATGTTTACATTAATGTTTTATAATGATCTTTGCTGATAGATTCACCATGTTTTATGTCCATATTCTTTATGATTTTCTATGTATACTTTTACACAGAGAGTTTCGGCTGTTCAATACGAGTTCCCAGACAATGTTTTAAGCGAAGACAGCAAAAATCTGATATCTCGTATTTTTGTGGCAAATCCATCAAAGGTATGTATATGAACATGAACATAGTCATACATTTGTAAAGAAAAGAACACTGTTGCATGATAAACGTACGTTGTAACTTTGCTTTATAATTATGTTATAGAGAATCACCATGAAGGAAATCAAGTCACATCCATGGTTTTTGAAGAACTTGCCTGAGGAGTTAAAAGAAGGGGCTCACTGTGTCCACCACAATGAAGAAAATACAACAAATTGTGTTCAGAGTGTAGAAGAAATCATGAACATTGTGAACGAAGCAAAAACCAGACCTGTTGCTTGCAGTCCAAATCTATAGCAGGGTTTGGTAGGGGAATACAGGAAAATTATATGTATTCATTTTTGTGGATAATGATAAATTAAATTGTTTTGGTACACTTTTTTTTTCCAAAGTAAAGGCCAATTTTTTGGTTGTATCTATGTATAAAAGTTAGGTTTATGACAAAGTTGAATTGTACATTTTTATTGACATAGTACAAGGTTTTTGTTTATAAGCATGATGTGTTTGAATATTATGGTATGTTATGTCTTCATAGCACAGTTTGGAAGTGAACTATGATGTCTGTGCTCACTGCATCACCTGTCTCTATCTTTCTGCAGGGATTTAGAGTCAGGTTGCTAAATCTACAATAATTTAACCTTTTCTCTGTTTTCAATTTCTTTGGATATTTACTTTCTATATTTTAAATAATATACTTTAAAAGTAATTTAATATTAAAAAATAAATTTATTGAGTAAGAAAAGGAAACAAGGAAAAAACAGAAGAAGGTGGTGATATACTTTGGTAGGACATCTGAAACGTCAACTTCCTTTGGCACATACAATGTATTTTCACTTAGCAGTCCTCTTAATTTTACAGCAGAAATGAAGCACACTTTTTGCAAATTTTCAACCTACGTGGCTTTGATAGTGACTCCTATTGATAAAGACAAGCGTATTGTTCACAAAAAAATGAATCTTAGACTCCACATTAAGGGGATTATGCTTGCATCTCTTTCTCATAACACATCATAATAAGAGAATATGTCATATCCACTCTTCCATGCTTCGTTTTTCTTTTTATTTTATCTTATCTTTAACCCAATCTTCTTTTCCTACTTTCTATATTTTCTTCAAATTTCTAATCAAGCATTTAACTAATTAAACCTTCACTTCTTATTATTGGCTCTCTAAATTCCAATTTATGAAAGTAGAGAGAGAGAGAGAGAGAGAGAGAGAGAGAGAGAGAGAGAAAATGGTTGTATATAAAGTATCATATGATCTGACTTTTGACATTATGGTAATAGCAAGATATTGTATACTAATACTATTTGAGACACTCACATGAAACCTAATTAAGTCATTAATTAATATCCTAATCTTAAGGGTAAAACTAAACCATCTTCGTTTGTTTTTTTATTCAAGGCACTTACTTTACTTTTCTTTGGATTTTCTAGCGTTACATTAATGTTTGATTAGGAGAAAATAATGTTTTCTTTAAAACGATATAACACAATTTAATTTAAGGTTTTATCTACATATGTACTATCTGTTAATTTTCTTTAAAAGTCAACAAATCATAATTGGTAATGTAAAATGATCTGAAAATATGTAAAATTTTCTGTTTCTCGTGTAGGATAAACTCATCAACTTTATAATAATTTTAAAAAAAATATTTAAATAATTTTTATTTAGTTGGAAGTATAAATTAGGCTTATATTGTATTCAAATCAACTATGAATTGATACAGCAAAACAAATACAAATTTAAATAACTTCATAATTTATCATGTACATTGAAGTAATATTAAAATTCATATATTTGGATTATTTTCCTCCAAGTAAACCCACTAGACTTTGAAAAGGTAAATCTGGAGAATTTTTCTCTAATCCAACATGAAAATTAGATTTGTTTTTGATGACACTATTAAATTATTAATAGCAGATTATCCTTATATTAAAGCAAGGAAAGTAATAGATGGATAGAAAATTAGATATAGAAAAGAAAGGTTGGTATTATTTGGTTAAAATATAAATATATTCTTTAAGGTTCTCCCTTTGTCGAGCTAGGAGGCAGCACAATCCTATTTTGTATGTTATAAATCATTATCATATCTACTTTCTTCTTTTCCCAGACAATCAATTTTACTTTAACTGAGGAAGATCTGTTCTTGTTGTTGAGTTATCAACCACCCTTGGAAAAAGAGACCTTTTTTCAAAGATAGATTTCACATACTATATTTTTAGGTTTTTAGCCTTTATAGGACTAACTTTTTCTATATTACTCTTAACCATGTCAGATATACCGTTAACCTTTTTAAGACTATCTTATTTTTCTCTGCGTTTCACTCATCAACTTTCAAATTCTAATCTAAGAAAACACTCTTCCTTTATTCGTGAGAAGAGCATGTAATGATCTAACATATGGGTTAAATTCCTGTTTTTTCCAATTTGATTCTTATTTTTCTAAATCTTCAATTGAGTCCTAAAGATTGTTAATTTGAATCAATTGAGCATCTGCGTTAATTTGACTTAACGAGGTTAAATTTTTGCTGAGATTGAAGGTTGACGTGTCAATTTTTTTAAACGTGGCATTCTCAAACCTTTGTACGTGGAATATATTATTAAAAAGAAAATTCTGAAAATTGAAACCCAAATTAGGGTCCATCCTCTTCCTCAGACATCGACATCGTCTTCCTTAGACATCGAGATTGAGATAGTTGAGCTATTGTACGGTTTGAAGACTTCAAAGAACCATGAGTTTTCTTCGGAAAAGCCTGAAGCAGGTGTCAATCACTGCAACGCCACTTTATGTTGGTGGGTTTCAATTTATGGAAGTTTTCTCTTTTACTCTTCCTTTTTCTTCTATTTTTACCTTATCTTTCGTTGGCATTTTATCAGAGAAAAAGAAAATGGAAGATGATTGGGGCTTGAATGAGTTTTCACGTTTGGAATCGGGGTTGAAATTGGGTTTCCTGATTGTTGCGATTTTGGGTGTTCTTTTAAATCTTTTCTGCAGTTTTGGGTCTCACGAATTAGGGGTTAGGGTTTGCAATTTGTTCTTGCAAATTGGGGTTTTTGATCTTGTTTAGGAATTCTCTTCTAGGTGCTCTATTCTTGTTTTCTCAAATTGCGTTTTGGGGTCAGAGTTCTGCTTCTTGTGTTCTTGATCTCGTAAGTTTCATTTGAGTTGATGATCAAGATTTTGGGATTATGGATTTCAGGTTCTGTTTTAGAATTGGGTTCCTGTTTTGAGATAACAACAATTATTCCAGATGTTAAAGCACGATTTGGAGAAGCCAAGCGATGACTCAAGACCGGTTGGAATGTTAAGCACCTGGAAGAAAGAGGTCTAAGATGGATCGAGACCAGTTTGAATGACGGTGAGGGAGATTGATGAAGATTCACGAACTGGTGAAGAAATCGAACTCGGGACGGCGTTGCGATTCACGTTCAAGGGTTCTGCTGGAGAAGATGAAGACGGTTGTTGGAATGCTATAAATTGATTGCGGACGGCAACACAAGGCGGTCTTGCAGCGGCGATGCTGGTGTTGGGTGATGGCGAGGTTGCAGCAAGGCAGTAGGGTAGCTGACGGCGATCTAGGGTTGCCCATGGTGCTGACGACGACACAAGCACATTCCTCTCAGCAAGCCACATTTACAAAAATTGACACATCAACCTCCAACCTCAACAAAAACTTAACCCCATTAAACTAAATTAACGACAAGGCTCAATTGATTCAAATTAGCATTTTTTAGGACTCAATTGAAAATTTATAAAAAACGGAAATCAAATTGAGAAAAATCCACATGTGGTACACAAAATATTATCTCCAACCTTAATACTAAACAATACACTTACTTATAGTGTATAAAAGTATACAAAATTAAGAAAACTCAAGAAAAAAAAATTAGATTTTATTGTAAAATCAATATCCAATTAAGTTTTATGGGTGTTAGTTCTTTTTAATTAATTTTCTATATAAAAGACTTATCAAATTATAAATAATTATAAACCAAACATAAATGTAAAAGTTAACTTGTGTGCTATATTTAATAATTTCATATCATTTTAAGAATCAAATTAAAAAACAATTTAAATGCATATTTTATTTCAATTTTTTCCTATGCTTATTAAGAATAAATCATAACAAAAAATTATGAGTTTTAAAAGAAATAATACATCCAATATAATAAACATATCATCAAAACTAAAGATAAAAATATTAAAGAAGTTAATTATTAAGTTTCATATGGTTGAAAAGTTTGTTAGATCTAATTGGTTTTTATTGATAAAATCTTGTGCAAGCGTAAATAAAAAAGTGTCACCTTGATTAGAACAATGACATTAACTCATATATTTAATATTTTAAAGTCCTAGGTTGGATATGATATTAAATATACTGGCGAGTTATTAATTATAATAACAAAGATCTCTTGTGTTTTATGTTTGTTATGAAACATTTGTTTTTGATATAAGATTGCAGATGAAACTGTGCAATACAGTGAAAATATCACAGGATATACAAAATATATTCAATATTGGGATATTGAGTGGGAATTCTCTCACACAAAGATATATAGTACAAGCATATGGATTCCTAGTTATCATAAAAGATCTTCCATTGATGAAGAAAAAGCATCAATTTTTTATTAAGAAACTATATGTTTTCTTTTCCTCTTTAATTTTCTTCCATGCTTACAATACATGAAAAGAATACTACACCTCTGCATAGAAAGAGGTTTCTCTGACTTGAAGGCATTGGCATCTTAAAATTCTGGTTTTTCATGTATGACATGTAGCTTCATTTCAAAGCAAGTATCACATTCCCTTTTGCATTTTTTAACTCTGCTTTTTGTTTTCATTGGAAAAGCTTCTTCAAGGCCTCAACACCAAAGCCATCTTGTAAATCAATTCCCTATCAAATCAGCAAATAGAAAAAAAAATCATGACATTGCTTCCATTTTTCAACATTTTTTATTTTCCCTTGTCCTCAAATATTCTTCCACCTTTGCTATGGCTTCATTGAAGAAAATTAATCATATACATATCTACTACTTATGACTACACATATCCAAAAGCTTCTTCCTTCCTTCCACAATTTCATCAAAGAAATCATCAAGTTGCCCTGTTATAGTCTCAACCCCACATCTCAACAACCCAAAGCAACGTTTCAAGTTGTCAACTTTTGATTGGATCTCACACTGTGCATCATAGCCCACCATTCTCTCCAACTCCATTTTCAATTCCTCCATTGCAATCTTTGCTTGTTGAAATTCAAGCAGCAGAATCCCTGGCTGCCCATTACTGTGCTCAATCTCCTGTGCAACTTTCTGCTGCAATCTTGCCATGGAAACCACAAAACCTGATCCAAAAACCATGTGCCCTTCATACCCTTGTTGCTCAAAGCACGAGGAAGACCAACAATATGCAACTCCACATAGCAAAATCATGAGAAGCAATGAGCTAACACTCCTCATTGCACAAAGTACTCCTCGGAAACCATTGAACTCGTTTAGCTTTGATTCCATACACATGTTCTGATTTAGGCATTGAGACAATGCCTGAATTCTTGTTTCCATCATGCTTTTGTTTTCCTCCACCAATCCTAGACTCTCCCTTTGACAAATATTTATGGCCCTGACCACCTGCAATATGTGTGTGTGTATGTCAGAAGAACCTAGTTCGTGTTGTTTGAAACTATCAGAAAGCAAAGAATCACATCAATTCAGCCTGATAAAAACGTGGAAGTTTACACCAAAGACAGTATTAGATTTGGAGAAACTCATAGTGAAAATAAAAAAGAAAACTTGATTTAGTTGTGTGAAAGACTAAGCTTTTTGACTAAAAGTTTGGAACAGAATTTGAGGGGGGTGTGAGTATACCAACCTGATGTGAAAGCTCTGGAGTGAAATGATGGTAGGCATCGACTAAGGAGGTTATATTGGAGGCAGTTGAGGAATAGTTCTCTATACCATAAATGGCTGATTTGAGAACATGACAGATATCCCAAAGCCTTGAGCTTTCATCCATGTATTCATCGAGCCATTTGCCTCCAACGGGCAAGCAGAGTCTTTGGATCAAAATGGTTAACTTGGAGTGGAAGGATTGGAGGGATGAGAGAACCTGTGAAATGAATTGGATTGACATGAAGTGATGGGAGAGGAAGGATTGGTGAAGCTCATTGAGTCCTTTAGTGAGGAAGTTGTAGAAGCCATTGACAGAAGAGTTTGTGCAGGAAGAAGTAGTACTCATGATGAAAGGTTGGAACTAGAAAAAGGAAGTGTGGTTGAAGGGAAGTTGATGGAGATTGATAGGTTTATATAATTGGAAGATTAAGTTGAAAAGAGATGAAGCAATCAATGAAGTGGGTAGCTTAGAGGGTTCTAACTTTTTATGGTGAAAGTTACTGTTGGGTGCAATTATGGCTGTTTCCTATAGAGTGGAGAGGATGATTGGGAATCTGCTGTTGTTACTTTTTATTGTGAAAGGGTCTCTATTCAACAAATGTTAAGAGAGAGATAGAGAGAGAGAAAGAGGAAAATCAAAAGAAACCATTTTTGAGAATGTATAGTACTTGTGTGGATCACATATAGAAGTCTTAAAAATATGCATTATGAAAGCTGTACAAAATTGTTTTTCTCCTTTTGTTATTATTCCATCAAGGAGGTTTCAGTTGTGCTACTATTGGACACAAAAGTTTGACTACTTTGACTCAGATTCTGCTTCTCATTCTTCTGTTTTGATTTTTCTTGCAAACTGCTTCTATTTGTTTGGCTCCTTATTTTATTTTTTCTTTCACCATCACATTGCATCTTTCCATTTTGGAAGTCTTAAATAGAGTGGCACGTAGTTCATTTCTGGAAAAATAAACGAATGATAGAGTTCTGCAAGATCACAGTAATGGAGAGAAAAGATTTTTTTTCTCCTTTTCCACCCAACATATGAGTTTGAGTGTTAAATTAAAGGAGCATGTTCAAGGTAAACTCCAATAATGGGGGGAGTGTGAGGCTAAAGAAGACAAGGGTTGGAGTGAAAAAAAGATTCTAAAAGAAACTTAAGTTTTTTTCTTATAAATTTTAAATTAAGAAATAAATTATAAACTAAGAAATATTAACGAGCAATTCATGATGATGAGTATTTTGAAATTGTGAAAGGAATAATTGATAAAATAAAGAAAGTAGTATAAAGTAGAATGTAAAAGTAGTTCTTAAAATATATTTTGGAGTTGTGTACATCAAATTAGTGCACATGGGTATTTGTAGAACTTATTTCACCTGCATGATTATTTTTGAAAATGTTAGACACAACCACTTATATAGAATATTCTAGATTTTTATTAATATAGAATGTTATGGACTTTTACCTCCTATCTTAAGCTTTTCTATATTGTTTTAGAATTTGTATTACATTTTAATACTTATCTTTGATGCAAATTTGGTAACTCCAACCATAACACATAGTGTACAGTAATTCAAACCTTGGTATTGATAACGCCTTTGTAAAAATATATGCAATTTTGGTATTCTGTCAGACAATACTTGAGTTGAATCTTCATATTTGTCAATGCTTCTATGATGAAATGATATTTATTTGTTATATGTTTTGTTCTACTGTGATACACTAGATCTTTCATCATTGCAATAGTTGATTTATTGTCATAGTTAAATGTAGTAGGTCCACTTTATTTTTCTCCCATATCTTTGAGTATTTTTCGAAGCCACATAACTTGACTCGTTGCTTCAAAAGCAACAACGTATTCTACTTCAATTGTTGATTGGTAACTACGACTTGTTTCTTTCACACTCAAAAGAATATTCTTGATCCAAGTGAGAAAACATAGCCTAAGGTGTTTTTCATGTCATCTGTCGATCCTGTTTAATCACTATCGTTATAACCAAACAATCTTGGATTGCTTGTAGATTTATACCATATATCATACTCTTTTGTTCTTTGTAAATATCTTAAAATTCTTTTATCTATACCAAAATTTATTTAATTTGGTTTTTTGCATGAATCTTAATAAAAGACGTGTGGCGAACATGATGTTTGGTCGTATAGTTGTCAATAGAGTATACTTCTAACTAGACTCTTGTATTGGGATGTATAAGCTTTTGGTGCTCCATCCACCTTTTGTAATTTCTCATCTCTTACTAGTGGTGTTCTTACATGTTTGCACTCCTACATTTTAAAATTTTTCAATGGCACGGAGTAGAATGTGAAGCCAATACTTTGAAAGAAATATATTTTGTAATTATATATATCAAATGTTAGTGTACATAAACATTTATAGAGCTCATTTTACTTATATGATTATTTTAGAAAATGCTAATCACAATCAGTTCTATAAATGTTCTAAATTTTTATCTATGTAAAATTTCTATCTTTTGCTTTTCTACATTGTTTCATCCCAATATATATATATATATATATATATATATATATATGTTTGAATTTGTATATTTAATCAATATTATTAATCAATAATTATATTATAAATTTTATTACTAAATATTAATATCTTTTTATTAAAAAAAAAATTTCCTATATAATTAAGTTGTATTCATTAATTATCTTCTAATATTTTATGTATTCGATCAAAATCTCTTCAACAATTCGTTCTATATCATTAAATTTCTAGAATTAATGCACTAAACTAAAATTTTAATGAGATTTTTATTTTTACCTAATTATTTACAATAACTTGAAGCACTACAAAGCTTGGAAGTGAGGAAAAACAATCCAAATATTACCTTAAAATTCAACATGTAAGTTAGACGATCAAGAAACTCTCGTGTACTTAAAATTTTGAATGTCCTCAAGAGTAATATAACAACTATGTGTAACCTAATTCAACTATTTTAATATAACTTCCAAAAGCCTCTTGTTTTATTTATTTTTATATATTAAGTGGAAAAAATAAGAACAAACATCATCACCAGTGAATACCGATAATGCCTAACTCACTATCCCTTAAAAGAAGGGATAAGACCTTAATCTGAAGACTATGCTACAGTATAAATACAGCTATACATCCACAATGTCTATGTTTATATTTTATTTTCTGCCAAATAAAATTGCTATTATAATAATAGAGCCAACCTAAATAATATTTTTTTTGTTAAGATATGAAATATATATTTTTGTTATGACTATATATATATATATATATATATATATATATATATATATATATATATATATATATTTCACTAAGGTTGGTTGACTTAAAATTTCTGTGATTTTTTGTTGTGTAGATTTATTTTCACCAAATCATTGCACACATTAAGAATAGCCACTTGAATGGTTCAGTTTTAATGAAAGGACAATGCACCAAAGCAGAATCAAACTAATCTATCTGAAAGGACAACACTTACATAAATTGCTTTTTCCCACAGTTTAGCTGATTCTAAGGATGCACAAAACCATATCAAATATTCATAGATATTGCTCCTGTTTTATGAATATTTTTTCCTCATTTATATTTTTTTGTTGTTGAGAGTATTGAAGTAAGTACATTAGTGATGTTATTTCTGATATTGACTCATCATGGTTCCTAGGTGTGTGGCTAATTCTACGTATAATTGACACAAAAATTAAGACCATGTTCATTTTATTTAGATGATCTCTAACAATTCGTTTCTGGATTTGTTTTTGTTGGTGGCCACACATTTGACTTGTCTGGATCATATATATCATTTCTTTTCTTTGACATTTTCTGAGATCTGTTGCTGGGTATTTCTTACTCTTGTAATTGTCACTTTCCATACTTCATCACCAAATCATTTGACAAATTGAAAAATTGTACACAATATTTTTGACAGTGAGAGGACACCTATGACAATTATTAGATCATTATAAGTAGATATATTAAAGTTTTTAATAAAAGTATCTCTTAGTTCAATTCTAGAAAATGAATTAAACTTGTATATTATATATTCCTCTTATTTTTAATTAATATATAGTTTCTAAACACTCTCACGTTAACTTGATAGTGGTGACATAATAAATCAAATAAAGATAGACTTTGAATGATTTTAAAATCATGTGAAAAAATAAATTTTAAACACAATCCAACGTTACAATACTTATATACTATAAATAGGTGGAATTTCCGAATTGTATAAATAGATCCTACAAAATTTATATAAATATTCTTAGTAATGTTTTGACTAATTAAATAAAATTTAGTCACTAATTAAATTGAACATTTATCATTACATCATAAAAGTTATAAATACTAGTTAAGACACTGTGATTCCATTATAATTTGAGTCATTTAGCTTGTGGCATATAACAATTGATAAATCTGCAACAAACAATGTGTGAAAAAACAATAGCAATATGAATGAATGAGTGAATAGCAGAAAAAATAAAATTGTTGAAAGTCAATGAGCACAAGATTGTTTGAGCATGAATGAAAAAGGAATTTGAAGGGATTATTGCATGGAGACAGATATGCAGAGAGAAAAGACTTAGTGCGCGAATAAAAGCAGATTATGGCAGACAATTATCAGAAGGGTGTCCTTTATTTTAAGTTAGAATAACAAGTTATATTATACTTTTGATACATTGCTAATGTTGAACTTCACAGCATTATCTAATTGTCTTTTTGTGATAAAAGTATGCATGTTGTGAAATGATAAAAATTGAATGGATAAGAAAAGTTGACGAATTCTAATAGTGCATAACTGTATAAATAGAAAATATCATATACAATTGTTTGCAGAACAATGCTACACAGCTATAATAAATGATAAAATGCTAAACCATGAATATCTATCAGAAGAATTGATTCAAAATTTATCAGAGTCACGGTTAACTATTAGATATACCAAAATAGAAAAATTACATTCCCTTAAAATTTACAATATCAGTTTTTATATTTACAACAACGAAAACTGTAGCATTGCTGGCTGTAGAAATTTCATGGTGACCCTCAAGTCAAAATTCAACACCCATGGTATGCATTAATAGTGTAAATAATTTTCAGTGTTAATCTGTCATAACTTTCTTATATTTTAACGATGATTGCTTATTGATTAATTGTGAAAATTCTTACATTGACTGTGAATACAATTAAACTCAATGTTGAAAGTTCAGAGTCAGATAATTTCCAGCTTAGCAACATTTGTTTAAAATATAACGTATAAGTAATATGGTTTCTCTCTTTTGTTTCAGTTTCCTTTTTTAGTAGTTCCAATCATTGTCAAACACAAGTTAGCAATGTCATCCCTGTCATATTTGACATTCCCAAAATCTAGCATTCTTCCCCATTGGACTAAAACAAAATTATCTTAAAAGAAAAACTGGGGGGTAATTACTTGTACATAACATTAAAGAATTCCCGAAAGGTTTACTATGTTCATAATCATAATCAAATTATAGGTAGGAAACATTCACTGAAATTTTCCTCTAGTCAGATCATCTTTGAGCCCTTGGAATTGGCCACCTGATAGTGCAAATCTTGATTGCAGTCTCAGTAGTTATCATATTTTGTTT